TGTTGTTGTGGTTGTTACAGTAGTTGTAGGTGTACTTGTACTTGTACTTGTAGTAGTAGTAGAAGTAGTAGTAGTAGTAGTAGTAGTAGTAGTAGTAGTAATAGTAGTAGTAGTAGTAGTAGTAGGAATTGTCAGTCGTCGTCGTCGTAGTTTAGTGGTTCTGGTCGTGGTCTTGTTCGCTAGCGGTCACGGTCGTAGTTGTCGCGGGAGTGGTAGTGGTAGTGATGGTGGTAGTGGTAGTCGTAGTAGTTGTCAAAGTCGTCGTATACGTCGTCGTAGCAGTAGTGGTACTGTAGTAGTAGCTGTAGTAGTAGTAGTAGTAGTAGTAGTAGTAGTAGTAGTAATAGTATTAGCAGCAGTAGGGGTAGTAGTTAGCAGGTAGTAGCAGTCGTAGCAGCAGCAGTAAGTGCGGATATTGCCAGTTTGCTTCGGAGGTGCTTCTGCAACGGCTCAACACTGCTCGGCATCGGGCGCGTGAGGTGCTGCATGTCGGCAGTCTGACTGTTCGGGCGCGTTTAGCTTTCTGCATCAGCCTACGACCTCGCCCTGCCTAGCGAAGCCGGAAGTATTATTTCCTTTGTAGTTCCCAAATACAAACAGCCAAATTAGATGTGCACATACCGCACGTTACTGCAGAAAGAAGCGGGTATCACACATTGCTGGTGTATGAGAGTTTTACATACATGCTTCGACATGGCATCCCAGAGCAAGAAATATATCGTCATGGTCTGGTTCTAGCTCAGCCAGAGGTCCCCTGATCCCTCTAAGTTGCACCCGAACAGCAAAAAGCAGAGCCTCCACAAAGAAGAGAGAGCTGCATGGATCCTAAATCCCATCTAAACTTTTCGTCATGAACCCTATAACTATAACCCTAAATCCTGCAATCCTACATGAGTTGTCCATATCTCAAAGCTGAACTCCTTGTTCTCCAGGCCGGTGCTCCGCAGGCCCTGCACTGGCCGGTCATTCTGCTGTCGGTGTAGGGTTTAGGGGTTATTTCGCGGCTTACTTTTGAGGTTTTGTGGTGTTAGCGTAAAGGTTTGGGGCTTGAAGTTGAGGGGATTTCGGGCCGAGGGTCCCAGGTTTACCCTGCATGAAAGTTCGTGGGTAGAAATAAGTTGTGCTGCAATAATAGTTACACGTATGTTTGGAACTCACTGTCGCCCACAATACATAAGTCACAACCTTTCATGTCACCCATGTAACTTCCTATGGCTGTTCATTAACATGCGATGAGGTAAATGAACATGCTCAATCACACGTGGGCCGTCAAGTCAACTGTGATTGAGAACGGCCGTTTGATTCTGCAGGGTTACAATCACAGCCGCATGAGGCAGCATGGTTTCATATCCCAACTGATTGGGCGGAGGTAGCTAGGTCTTGAGCATAGTAGTCGTGACGTCGGCCCTTGGAGCCGAGCAAAGCTGGGGAGCCTACGCAGCCTACACCATGAACTCGCAAAATGTGGAGGAGGACAGCGAGGACAACGACACCGACAACAACAAGAAAAACACACAATCGCGAATAGAAGCACCAACACAACGACGACACCCACCATCGCAAGACTCACAACAGTCACAACCACCACAACAACCCCGACAGCCACAACAATTTCAATAGTCACAACGGCCATAAGCGCAACACTCGCCGCAATCCCAAGAACAGCAACAACATCCACCACCACCACCACCACCACCACCACCACCACCATCACAACATTACAACAGTCACCAACCGCCCAACAATCACAGCAACCACAGCAACATCCACCATCACAACAATCGCAACACTCAAAGCAGCTTCAACAGTCCCAACAAGCACAACAGTCGCACAACAACGCAGCAGCGACATCAAGAACCGCAACAACAGCAACTACAACTGCAACAGCAGCAACAACAGCAACACACAACGCAACATAATAACAGTTGTCGTCGTCGTGATCGTCGTCGTTGTGACGACCGTGGTTGTTGCTGTTGCTGACTTTTCGACGACGACGACGTTGTAGTACAAACCGAAGCCGGAGGCCTGGCGCTCGTGTTGGCCTGAATGCTTGCATCTGGAGTCTGGACTGTCTAGCCCAGAATCACTTCATTGCTGACGTCCAAAGCAGACTCGATTATTTCGTTGCTTCCCGAGGTGCACAGAAGCCATAAACCAAATAACTCTTTGGACTGCCATCGGAGCCACTGAACTCTAGTCTCAGCTCCACTGTTTCTTAGGCCTTGGCTCTGGTGCATTACGGAAACTAGGGTATTCTAATAAGGTGTGGCGTGTTGGGCCGGTGTCGCCATTCACCATCCCAAGTGAGCTCTGGAAGAACTCGGTCAAATTACATCGCTATCGTTTTTTCAGAGGAAAGGAAGCATCAAGTTCTGTTCAGTGTATGCAGGTCTCCGAGGATAACAGTGGAGAAGTCGGTTTCTGGGAGCTCGGCGCTCAAACTTTGCAAGTGGAACGTCTGTGGATGGGTTCGGCTCCTATACACTTGACAGCGGAATATACCCCAAAAACCTCACTCCAATTATAAATGCTCCTACATGACTATATGAATCGCTAAGCTGCCATACACCTTCCTCATAGCCAGATGCACTCCC